GAAGAAATGCTTGCTGGCCGATCGCCCATACAAGCGCTTATTGATAACTTGCGGGAAAACGAGTTTATCTATTATGTTGATTGTGACGGGACCGGAGCCGTCACTGCGCTTTTTTTTGCGCATCCAGAAAGCGTTCAGCTAGCAAAGCACTACCATCATGTCGCATTGATGGACTGTACATACATGACGAACAAGTACCGGTTTCCCCTCCTTCATGTGATCGGCATGACAAGCCTTAATAGCCAGTTCTCCATCGGATTCTGTGTCCTCTAGGAGGAGAAGTAGAAGGATTACTTGTGGGCCATAGCAAAGCTTCTTGCCATCTGGACACCTGATGCGTGCCAGAAGGTTATCGTCACTGATAGGGAACTGGTATTTATGGGTGCGCTAGATGAAATGATGGCTGGTTCGGCCAACATACTGTGCACATGGCATATCAACAAAAATGTCCTAGCCAAATGCAAACGAATGTTTTCCTCTGGAGAGGAGTGGGACGAGTTCATTAGTCAGTGGAACTGCTTGATATCATCGAGCAGTGTTGATGAATATGAAAGGCAATGGAAGAAGTTTTGCACTCAATTTCAGCATCAGCCGAACGCTCTCGACTATCTATCGTCGACGTGGCTAATCCACAAAGAGCGGTTCATCAATGCGTGGACATCAAAACACATGCATTTTGGCAATACTTCAACATTACGCGTGGAGGGCTCCCACGCATACATTAAAACGTTCTTGCAGACATCGACAGGAGATCTCCTAACAATTGTGAGCAAAATCACCATTGCCCTTAAACACCAGCTGAAGGCAGAGGAGCTTCGGTGTTTGCGGCAGTTTCTGAAAAAATCTCTGTTTTCGCGCTGGAGATAGCGCTTAAAGAATTTGAGAAAGCCCAGGAAAAAGTAGGTGACGCACTGATGCATTAACGGCGACGATGAGGATTCCCTGCTCCCACAGAATCCAGAAGATTATCAACTCGTCTGGCATCCTGGTCACAGATGACTTCGATAGGCAGTGACACCTCGAATGGCATGCAGCTGACTTGGACGATCAGATGGATGACCAGGATACGACCACAGCTTGGGACGCTCTTGGCAAGCAACTTTTGTTTCTACCTGATGTAAGGCAAAAGGTAGTGCTAGCACAGGCTAGCAGACTGATCGCTGGCCATGGTACTGTTGTGGAGTTGCAACCACAAAATAACAAAAGAGGCCGAGGTCGACCGCCTGGAGCCAAAAATCTTCCGAAGAGCAGTACCAAGCGGAACCCATCATCTTTTGAAATCGCAGAAAAAGAAGTGGGCCAAAAGTGCAGAAAATGTGGAAAGTGCGGCGTCCCAGGGCACACGCGACCCAAGTGCACTGTGAAACCAGAGAACAGCGCAGTGCACCAACCACTGGTGCAGAGATTTCGTCCTTATCTTACGAGGATCACAGATGTCGAAGCAGACGGAAACTGCGGATATAGAGTTATTGCGCTAGCATAACATATGT